CCTTTCCCCCCACCCAGCCCCATTGCACCCTCCCTCCAAGTAGGCAGCAGTCTAGGATAGGCTGCTGTGGCCTCTGCTCTGTGTGAGGTGGCCCTGGGGGTGCAGATAGGTGTGCCTTCTCCACCTCTCCCCTCCAGTGCCTCCTTACCCACTTAAGGGGTCAGAGATTCAGGGACAGGCTGTGGTTGCTCTCCTCACCCCTGCCCCCATCTGGAGAGGCTGTGAGAGGAGGTGCTGCCTCCTCACTTGGCCTCCTCTGGGCTTCAGCTGGTGCAGCTCAGGTTTGGGTCCCTCTGGGTTCCTGTGGGCAGTGTCCACATGTGTGCCATCTGATGCAAACATCCCTCCTGGGTGTTTGCAAATTTAGTACACTTCTACTGACTCATGGGTCAAGATACAATAATAAATGAAGAATATTAATTCTACATTGTGGAATGTGTAGAGTGTAGCTAATGTGGATTGTACTAGGAGATACACAGCCTTTTAAAAACACGGGATGAAAGAGGCTAGAAATGAGTGGCTCTTCTAATTTGGAGGCGAAAGGATTGATCCTCAGACATGTTCAGATGAGAGCAGAGCAGGCTCTTTCAGAAATTTCTCACAGAGGGATGATTTTAAGCAGATGCCTCAGCACCTGCCCGGCCGCCCACAGCCTGTGAGAATGGAGTGCTGCCCCCCTGGCTCCCATCAGGAGCAAACAGCCCAGGAACTTTCCTCTGTCCTGTTTCCCCAGGACCTGTTTTTCAAGTACACCTGGAACAACTTTTTGCACTTCCAAGTGGAACTATGCATAGCCGCAATTCTCTCCCATGCCTCCCGGGAGGACAGGGCAGAAGCCAGTGGACCCGAGAGCAGGGCAGAGCCTCCACCTGGGAACGGGGACTCAGGGACCCCCCAGCCTGTTGCCAGCAACCCCGAGAACACAATGGTGACCCATGTAAGTCCAGCCAGTGTCCAGTGTGTCATTGTGTGTTGCTCTGTGTTGCTGTGTGTCACTGTGTGCTGAGCCCCATGTGGACATTCACGTTGATGTGGGCCCTCTGAGCCAGCAGTGCCCCCCCCATCCCCCGCGTTTTCTTTTCTTATCCTCACGTGACACGGTGAGCTGCCCTCCTTTAACCAGGAGAGGGAATCACAAGGAAAGGGCATGAGAACAGTTTCTGGGATTTGGGCCTTTTGAATACATGCGCGTGCACCCTTGACGTGGCACATCTTTCCTGCTCACCCGTGAGCGCTTCGCATGATGCTCACCTCCAGGCCACTGGCTTGCTTCCTGCTAAGCCCACTTGGTCCACGGAGGGTGGAGGGGAAGATGCAGCCCCTCATACCCTGACTGTCAGCCTGTCCCCCAGCTGTTCCAGAAGTGCTGCCTGGTCCAGAGGATCCTGGAGGCCTGGGAGGCCAATGACCACACACAGTAAGAACCTCTGGGTGTCTGAGGGAGTGTGCCTGAGGGGTCAGTGGGCCCCCGGGGCCCCATGGAAGGTTTGGTTTCCAGAAAGGGCTTCTGCTACTGAAGGAAACAGTTGCTGGGCTGCCTGGGAGGCCAGGGCACAGAGCTGACAAGCAGAGCCAGGCAGTCCCCGGGCCTGGGCTGTGTTCCTGTTCCCCCCTCCTCCTCACCCCAACCCTCGCTCCCTAGGCCTCCTTCACCTTCCTCCCTCGCCTGTCCTGTGCCCACACTGTGTCCCGAATCCCCCGTCTGCCCACCCCCGCACCAGCCACTTCTGTCACTGAGCCCTTGAACCCTCAAAAGTGTCCACGCCACTTCCTGCTTCCTCCCTGCCCTGCGTGGCCTCTTGTTGCATGAGCATTTGGGCTCTTTCTGAAACACAGATGAGATGGTGTCACTTCTGCCTGAAGGCCTTGACCACCCAGGTCCCCAGGGTGCCCTGCAGGGTCCAGTGTAGGCAGCCTCTCCTTACTGCCCTGCCCTCTCTCTGCTGACTGCTGCTCCTCGGTGGGGCTGCCTCACTTCCCCGGGTTTATCCCTCATATCCTGCTCTCACTGAACCCACCAAGTTTGTCTGTTCTCGAGTGTCAGTGCACTGACGGGTCTGGCTGCCTTCCCCTGGCCCCCTGCATGCAGTGCCCCACGAGACCCTGTGCCGAGCGTGCTCTCGTACAGTTTGCTTGTTTGTGTGGGTGGGTTGAGGGAGGGCTCACAGCTGTTACTGAAGGTCTAAGGTGCACGGCAGGCCTCCACCCTGTCCGAGCTTCCCGTGGCCAGTGCTCCCCCTTCCCGCTCTCTCACCCCTTCTTCTGCCTGACCCAGCTCTCCAGCTCAGGTGCTTACTCGCTCACCTTGGCTCCTTTCTGGGTGTCATCAGGCTCTTAGGAGAGAGTGGTCAACAGCAGGCTCTGTCCACCCTATTTCACAGCAGAAGCTCCTGATTGGGTCTTGTATGTGGTGGTTAAGAAGTTGAATGCAGAGCCATGTGTTCATGGCAGCGTGGGGTGGACAGGTGGATACATGCCAGGACGAGTGCCCCCACACCTCAAGCTCAGGGAGGGGGCGACTTGCAGATCTAGAGAGCCTATGATAGGCCCACTCTGGGTCCTGTGACTGTTCTTATTTCCCTAGAGCTCAGGCGTGCCCTGTCAGCACTTGCCGCAGGGGTGCGTTTATATTTTAACTTTCCATGTCTTCTGCTGCTGAACTGGGCTTCCCCTAGGCAGTGGGCTCCAGGCTGTGTAGGAGGGCTCTGGGAGTCAGGAAAGTGGAGGTGCCTGAGTGCTGGTGAGGGGTGTAGCATGGATGGCCGGGTAGGAGAGTCTGAGCAGGCCTGCTGGTGTGGAGGGCTGCATGTTATATGTGGGGAGCACAAGCTTTGAGCCCCACTGTTACCTGTTTTCTGGTCTGCATAGTGGGGGTGGGAGCAGCGTCTCCCAACACCAGCGTCCCGCAGGCGAGGCTGTGAGGAGGGACTTGCGGGCGGTGAGGAAAAGCCCTGGCCTGGCAGCCACCCTCATACTGCCCTTCACTCTCAGGGCAGCAGGTGGCATGAGGCGTGGGAACATGGGTCACCTCACCCGGATTGCCAACGCAGTGGTGCAGAACCTGGAGGGGGGCCCCACACAGACCCCTGTCAGCGAAGTCATCCGAGGTGAGCCCTGTGCCAGGTCTGGGTGCCCTACCCACCCCCACCCTCGTAGGTGGTAGCTGCTTGGGTACCAAGACGGTTGACTTGCCTTCCCATGGGGGGTGGGCTCCCCTTGGGGTGGGTCTGGGCCCTGGCACCCACCCTGTTGGGCAGGCATCTATTCACGGCTCAGGGCTGGCTCTCACGAGGGGCCACACTGCTGCTCACACCCGCCCAGGTCCTGCCCAAACACTGCCCTGCACAGCCCAGCTCTTCTCTGAATTCAGGTAGCCCCTCTCCTGGCCAGGCCTCACCTCTGCCCTGGACACACACCCCCCCCGCCCTGGGCTTCCTCCTGCATCACTCTGCAGGGGCACTCCACCTGGAGGCTTGTGCCCTTGCCTTTTCCCATCTCTCACATTCTGGGCACAGTCCTCAGCTCTGGGCTTCGTGGGCTGAGCTGGGAAGGGCCCATGTGGCTTCACTGGCGAGGAGGTACCAGGCCAGTACGAGCAGGGTGTGCCCAGGGTGCCAAGAGGCAGACAGGTAGGTGGACTGGAAGATGGCCAGGAGGTGGAGTGTGCTGAGTGAGTCAAGGAGAGCCTGGGGGTGACAGGCAGTGATGGGGGGATGGATGGTGACGACCCCTAGAGTTCAGTAAGGACAGTCTGTTCCCAGCCATGTTGGCCTTGTGACAGAGCTGGCTAAGGGTGAGCTGAGTGCTGTGCTCAGGGAGCCGTGTGGCACGAAACAGTGCTATCTGGAAGGGCCCCACAGAGGGTAGTCTCAGCTGTGGCAGTGCGCCCTGTGGCCGCAGGCAGGCATGAGCCCAGGAAGTCCCGGTAGAGGCAGGGGTGTTCTCAGTCAGTGGCCTTCAGGCTGGGGTCAGGTCTCCTGGTCCATTGGTCCCCATGATGAGGGTGGGGGCCCAGGGAAGTCTCCCCAGGAAGGCCCAGATTGGGAGGCGACGGGCAAGTGTGATCTTCCCTCACCGTTTCAGGGCATGAACCTTTTTGAGGCTCTGACCTCTCCAGAGAAACAGACATAGGCCTGCGGGTTGTGCTGAGGCAGGCCATCAAAAAAACTAACTGCAGCGTGTCTGTGTCTGGGGGCCCCTGTGTGCCAAGTAAACTCAGGGCTTTGATACCTGCTGAGGTTGGACTTGGTGCCTGCACAACCCCTTGAGGCCCTGTAGCACTCCCAGCAGCTCTCAGAGGTCACCCCCGGGCCCTCTGGGACTCTCCACCAGGCAGCACTTCCCTTGCAGGGCTCCCTGCGGATTGCCGAGGGCGCTGGGAGAGCTTTGTGGAGGAGACGCTGACGGAGACCAACCGCAGGAACGCCGTGGACCTGGTGAGCTCCTCTGGTGTGTGTGTGCGGGAGGGGCTGGATTGTGTGCTGCCACCTCTGCTCTGTGTCCAGACACAGACCCTTCTGCCTCAGGGTGGGCTGGTCCGAGTGAGAGCCTGAGGCCCCGAGCAGAGCTGCTGCAGCCCCTTGTCCCTGTCCCTGTCATGTCAGGAGCCCCAGTGTGGTCTTGGAGGCCTCCTCATGCCCAGATCCAGTGTGGGCTGCACCGAAGGAGCCCCCTGGGCACCAGCCCCGGGGTGCAAGCTCACACCCACCTCTGTGCTGTCGCAGGTGAGCACACACCACCTCCACCCCTCGAGTGAAGATGAGGACATGGAAGGCGCTTTCCCTAGCGAGCTGTCCCTTCAGCAGGTGTGTGTGGCCCGCTATTCTCCGCAGTCAGGGCAGCCCTTAGGCCTGTGTGGTGTCCTGGGTGGCATCTCACCAACCTGCCCTGGGAGATGGCCAAGGGCTTTCCTCCTGTGTACCTGGCCTGCCCACTCACGCTGAGATGAGGGGGACACCCCCCCAGAGACACTTACATAGATGGGACCCTTGGGGGATATGGTGGGTGAATTAAGAGTTAAATAGGCTGTTCAGATGCGACTACACGGCACACGCCCGAGTGGTCATGAGGGGCAGAGGCTGAGTCTGAGGCCTGTCCTGCGATACTTGCCTGTCTCTCCCAGGCTTTTTCCGAGTACCAGGTCCAGCAGATGACGGCCACCTTCGTGGACCAGTTTGGCTTCAATGACGAGGAGTTTGCAGATCAGGACGACAGCGTCAAGTGAGCCTATCTGAACGTGCCTGGGACTGCGGCTGCCTCCCTTACGCACCATGACCGTGATTCTCACCATCACCGCCTCCCACCCCGTCAACCCCCGTCCCTTTTGGAAGGACAGAGTTGGGCTCTGCTCAGTGTGACCAGGTCCCAAGCCTGTGGCTTGGCCCTGCCTGGCCCTAGAGGCCATCCCCTACTTCCTCAGCTGAGAGCCAGCTGTGACCGTGTGTGGGAGGGGCTGGGCTGAGTGCCTCCAGACATCCTTAGGGAAGGCAGATTGTCACTTGTGCAGACCAGACACAGCAGCCACCCAGGTTGCTCCCTCAGAGCTGGAGAGAAAGCAAGTGAGCACAGGAAATGGTTCCCCAACCTGGGTGATGGACACACTCCTGGACTGGCTGTAGAGCCCTAGCCTTCCGCTCTCAGCCCCCACCTGGTCTGCTACAGACTCCCCCAGGCCCCCAGCCCAGCCCCTCGCCTGTCTCAGCACACTGCGGCCCTGAGGTGGTCACCCAGATGCCCTGGTGCTGAGAGTCACATTACTCTTTTCTCTCAGTGCTCCATTCGACAGGATCGCAGAGATAAACTTCCACATTGACGCCGATGAGGACAGCGTGAGTCCCCAGTTGGTGTTTGTCCGAGGTGGACAGAGACAGGGCAGTGGGTGGGCAGCAGGGAGAGGGGCTGCTCCATGGGAGCCCTGTCCCTCCCCAGCTGGGCACCTGTCCTGTGGGGCTGTGGACTGGGCCTTTGGGAGCCGTGTGGAACACATGGGTTCTCTCAGCCCAGCGCGGCTCTGTTTGAGGCCTGCTGCGGGGACCACATCCAGCCCTTTGATGACGACGAGGACGACATCTGGGAGGACAAGGAGACTCACTGTGCTGCCCGGGGGGTGGCCAGAGCCAGGTGTGTGGCCACCCATCCTTCCTGAGCTTCCCTGAGGAATAGGCCCCTGGACACTTGTGTACCCCAGCCCTGCCCCAGTTGTGACGCTCCACTGTGCTGAATGTGCTTTCACCCAGGTTTGGGGGCCCTCCTGCCTCAGAGAGCTGCCCAGAGAATGGCCTGGCTCGTGGAGACCAGGATGGGAAGGAAGCTGACAGGGATGTGGCTCTGGCAGGGGCTCCTCAAGCCACTGCTCAGAAGGGTGGTCCCCACGTGGAAGATGGCTCAGAAGGTAGGTGCTTGCAGTGCAGAGTTCAGATTGAGTAGGGGACACGGGTGATGGAAGATTGGTGCCCTGGCAGGTGCTCCAAAGGGTCTGACACCTGCTGACCTGCCTGTACACACTCTGGAGCACATGGTCCTGAAGGCAGTGGCTTCCATGTGCCCCCGAGTACGAGGACACGGAGTTGATGGCAGATGCTGTGGCTCATTCCTCGGCAGCTCCTCTCAGCCACATCGTCCACCAGTGCCATTGGGAGGACACCACTTCTCGTGTGTCCTGCTGTGTCTGGGCTGAGGGCTCTGAGGTCAGGTGGGGCCGACTCCCTGGTGCAGGGGCCTGGACCATTCACTGTGCCTCCCCCTGTAGGTGCCACATGGACTGTGTTTGATGAGCCTGTGAACCCAACTGCTTCAGCCCCGGGAGTGGCGATGGACGTGGGCTCCAGCGTATGGGCAGCCAGTGTCCCAAGCACCTCAGCTCCGGAGGAGAAAGGCTGGGCGAAGTTCACTGACTTCCAGCCTTTCTGCTGGTAAGGAAGGTGGGCAGGCTGGAGTGACCCTGTCAGCCTCGGAGGCAGCGTCTCCCCAGCACAGCCTCAGCCTCGACTTCGTCCACAGCTCCGATTCGGGGCCCAGGTGCAGCTCCCCAGTGGACACAGGACATGGCGATGCCCAGGGTGGCCTGAGTCAGGGCCCAGAGAGAACCCGTGAGTCGGAGCAGCTCCCATGGCAGGGCAACGGGAGGAGGCGGCCCAGGCCCAGGATGGGTGGCAAGGCCTTTGCGCCACCATTGGAGGGAGGGTCTGCCCCTGCACCCGTCTGTGCTCCTGGGAACCCTGGCTGCCTTCCTAGTGCCATTGCACACACACTGTGCCACCTCTGTGGCAGTCATGGGGCCTGTCCAGAACCTCTGGCCCTGGGCTCATCAGTCTTGGAAGCCCCCAGGGTGTCAGGGCCACAGAGGGAGGGGTGGGACTTAGAAGCCACAGGGGAGGACAGTTCCTTCATGGGCAGACACTCCCCGCAGCAGGCAATGTGTGGACAGTTTCCATTTTTCGGGGTGAAGCTCTTGCATGCCCACGAGTTTGGGGGCCCCTCCACCCTCACCATTGTCACCTGGCCCCTGTTTTGCAGTTGGCCCTGCCTCCCCGTGTGCCTGGAATGTGTGTGTATCCAGGGACACTCCTCTGGTAGCCTCCAACAGTGACGAGGACCAGCAGAAGGTGGCTGTCGCCTCAGAGGCTGTCAGTATGGGTCCCGGCCGGGAGGCCCCCCCACTGCCCACGTCGGTCCCCAGGTGTGCAGGGTGGGGTGGGTGCAGGCCCCAAGCCACAGGGATCTGGTTGTCCACAGCACTCTGCTTGCCCAGGAGCAGGTGGACCCTGCTGCCCTGACGGTCCTGTGACCCTTGGAGGTGTGCTCTGTGGGGAGGGATGACCAGGGGTGAGGGGTATTGAGACAGAACAGAGGACCTGAATGTTCCACCCCAAGGACCAGGGAATGGGGCTTCCCCACCCATAGGCCCACTTTGGAGAGCAGGGTCAGACCTGTGGAGTTCCAGCCCTGCTGAGCTACCACCCCAGGCTCTGGGGTTGCCTTGGTGGGGAGGAGGGGTTGGCTTTCATCCTTTCTGGGGCGTGCTGAGTCCCAGACATGTGCCCACCTAAACCGGGCACCTTGGAAATGCCGGTCACACTCAGTATGGGTGGGGATGTGTCAGGACTTTGCAACTGAACCCTGATGTGGGGGTGTCCTCCGTGCAAGCTGAGCCCCCATCCCTCATCCCTACACTCAGAAAGTCCAGGCCTGTGGGATCCATTGATGGACAGACCTCTTCTGGCTGGACTGGGGAGGGGAGGATGGTATAAGGAGTTGTGTTTTGGAAACTAGGGAGAGTGGCAGGCAGCCTGGGGGGATGTTGGAGGAGGTGCTGCTGGCACTAGGCTTCCTGGGCTGGACCTCCCAGGAGGGCACAGGGAGCAGATGCAGATCGGGCACTCACAGGAGGTGGGTGCTCTGGGTGAGATGGTGCCTTCCGTTGGTTTCCCCCCACAGGTGGGGCATGTCGGTACCTGGCAAGGCCCCACCCACTCCCGGTTTCCACGTGATGGTGGGGGTCCAGCTCTGGCTCATAGCATGCTCATTCCCGGGACCCCGGACGACATGGCCTGTCCCCTTGGGCCCCTCCCTGGGGTTTGCAGCAGGGCAGGGCCCTGAGGAAGTGGGGCCAGGAGAGGTAGCAAGCGGGCGCCAGGGATTCCTGAAGGGGTTTAGTTCATTCTTGAAGAATCATCATAGCCCTGGCCGGTGTGGCTCAGTGGTTAGAGTATCAGCCGTGGACTGAAGGGTCCCAGGTTCAATTTTGGCCAAGGGCATGTACCTGGGTTGCAGGCTCAATCCCCGGCCACGGTCAGGGCTCGTGTGGGAGGCAACTCATCCATGTGTCTCACATCGATGTTTTTCTCGCCCTCCCTTCCACTCTGTCTGAAAAGCAATAGAAAAAATATCCTTGGGGGAGGATTAAAAAAAAAGAATCATTACAATTCCTAAACTTTTTCAGTCTCTCCCCTCCTAAAAACCAACTGTGCTCTGGAAAGCGGGCTATGTCATTCCAAAAGCAAGCTGTTTCCACGGGGCCGTCTGTGTGGGTCTTGCTGTCTGCCCGCCCTGGCCCACGTGGGCTTGCGTGTCCAGTGTGGTCTGTTTCACATGCTGCCGACCGCACCCAGCACAGCCCCCACAAGGACCCTGAGGACCCTCTCCTGACTGCTCTTGCAGGCAGGCTCCCAGGGGGCCTCATAAGGGTGGAGTTGACATCACGCAGTGGAAGTGAGCGCTGGGCAGGTGTGGGCCAGGCCAGGGAGCCCGGGGCTCACCTTCCTGGGCTGCAGCAAGAGGGGTCAGGTTGTCCCTAGGTCACCATCATTCCCTGGGCCTTTCCAGGTGTGGGAGGGCGAGTTCTGGGGAGACATGGCCTGTGGGCTGTTAGGGAAGTGGCTGGGCCAGGTGTGGTCCACAGTAATGAGGGTCCCGGGGAGCAGGTCTGGAACAGGGTAGGGGGCTGCCTAGGAGAGTGGACTGGCAGGTTGCCTCTGGGGCAGCCCAGGTAACTGAGTCCATGCCTGCCACACAGGGCCACCAGCACGCTGCCAGGTCCCACCTCCCCTGCACCTGTAGAAGCCACTTCCACTCTGGCTGGGGCTGTGCCCCCCGAGACAGCCACCACAGCACTGAGCAAGACCAGTCCTGCCCCAGCCACCCCAGGAGTCTCTTCTGTATTGACCGTGGCAGTCCCCCCAGGGCCCATGGTGACTATCACCACTGCAACCACAGCCAGCCCAGCCGTCTCCACAGTGGCCGTTCTGGGGACAGTGACAAAGGACAGGTGAGCAGGCTGGGCCAGGGAGAGGGGACTGGACAGGGACCCTTGGACCCTTGGACCCTTGGGTTCCAACCCCCCACTCTTCCTGCAGGAAGACGAATGCACCGCCTGCAGGAGCCACCTCCAATGGCCCCGTGTGATGCTGCCGCCCAGCCATGGCACACCCTTAATCAGAAAACTACCTGGTGATGCAACTTGTCTTTTTTAATTTTATTTAATTTTAAAATAAATGCTGCATTGGTAAAGCTGGCAGTTGGACCCAGTCGGACGGCCCAGCTCGCGTCACTCCTGCCTGACCCCACGCACAGCAATAAGGCTTCAGACGTGCGCTCTGCCTGCCAGAGCCGGGGCCTTGACCCTGAGGTGCCACGAGGACTGAGGGCGTGATGGGCGCGGATGCCACAGACTGCCAGCCTGTTTTTACCGATTTTTTTAACAAACGCAGAGAGCCGTGTTTGCACTTTGTATCTAGCTGCAGTGAAGGGTCTCCCTGACTCGGGACGAATGCGCGTCCAGAGCTGGGCTGGCCACACACAGGGTCTTAGCTGCCCAGTGGCCCTGGGAGCTGGCCTTTGAGCCAGAATGCAAAATATGACTGCCTTAAAAATACCAAGACCCTCGTGGCCTGGCAGGGGTATCCTGGCCCTGGCACTCCGGTGCATTTGGGCACCTGGCAGGAGCTGGCCATGAGCTTGCAGAAGGGGGCAGGGGGCAGAGACTGGCCCCAGCAGTGCTGGGTGGGTGGGGTCTGCACCTGTTGGGCGCAGGGCCATCGTCCCGGAAGGCCTGCAGGATTGTGTGATGCTGAGTCCATTTTTAATGTTCTGATGATCTGACAGGGCACCCAAAACCCCAACTCCCAATAAAGTTGTGTTGTTCTTACTGACAAACCGGAGTATTGTTAAGCTGCATGCCCTGGAGCCCCAACCTGGCCAGCGGAGGGTGGGGGTGGGGGCAGGGG